TATATATATATATATTATAATTTGTATCAATTAGCCTAATTTGTATGGTGTTAATAAGTGGGTTCCTGCTATAATTTATTGCCCCCTTTAATTATGAGATACAGACTTTATTACTGTGGGTATTACTTCAATATCAACCATACAATCTGTCTTTCTCTCGCTCTCTCTCTGTCTCTTGGCCCCTCTGGCTGAAACACTTAAGCCGTTTGCTCAGTAATCCTGAGAAGAAAGCAGGAAGAAAGCGAGGGATGGGCTGTGGCGGTGCATGAAAAGAAAACACGAGCGCTTTCTTTTCTTTTCGACAGACAGCCGCGAGGTTTTGTTAGTGTCTTGCAGCACTGATTGATAGCATCTTCCTTTTTTTCTTTCATCATAGGCTCTCTCTCTCTCTCTCTCTCTCTCTCTCTCTCTCTCTCTTCTTACTCTCTGTTTGGACTTGTCCTGATGCCCAATTGACAAAGAAAGATAATGGTCCTGCCAAGCTGCGTGTGTGGTAAATTAAGTTTTAAAGGAGGCCTATTTAACTTTTTTTATATCAGTTTAAGAGTTTCCTGATCGCTTTGAACAGAGTATTTTTGTTTTGTTCTGTTTTGTTGAGTATTGTTTTGTTCTGTCATTTATTCTTCTGTGAAAAAAGGTCACTTTGTGGGTGCTGAATTCGTATATTTTGTATTTCGCTGCTGTCGGAACAAAAACCTTGTATCTCCATTTTTGTCATTTTTCAGTTTTTGGCGTAATTTGAAAACGTCTGTTGCCCTTTACATTGTGTGTAAATTTCATGACGAATGGACCAAAAGAAACGGCCCAAAATTACTTGGGAAAAAGTCTGGTTCCATTGACTTACATTAAAAGTAAAGTAGGTTTTTTCCTTCTCCTGTAAAGTTACCATTTTGGAGATACAAGGTTTTGTTCCAACAACAGCGATATATTAATGACCACTGCTCTCAAGCGTGGCTGCTACAGGGCACAGTTTAGAGCAGGGGTGCCTAAACTTTTTGTCTTGGGGGCCTAAGTGCGATGTTTGTGGTGGGACGAGGGCCTAAACGACAAAACAGTATACAAATAAAGTAGGTTGGTAGGCTTCAAATAGGTAGTTTTAAAAGTGCATTTTATAGCATTACAAATATTGTTACTAAAATACTTCAAAACATACATTTTTGTTATATCAAGTATAAAAATATGTCTGTTCTCTCATTGTGTGAGGAGGGTGGGCCACACTTTGGGCCCACCCTGGTTTAGAGAGACCGTACATGTTTGACTTTTTGAGCTTCTTTACGCTAAAAGACCAAATACAGTCACTAAAGTTTAATCATGGACAAATTAATTTTCCTGACATTTTTGAAATAAAGGTATTTGATATAGAGTAAAAAGTGTTAAAGTACACACTCAAAAAAGATGGTTCTTCAAGGGTTCTTTAGTAAAAGCAATGGTTCTATTTAGAGCCATGAGTTCAAGAACCATTTCTTGAACCGCTTAAATGGTTCTTTGTACGGTGAGATGGTCCTTGTTGGTTCTAAACAAAACCTTTTTGAAAATGGTTCTATATAGCACCAAAAATGGTTTTGCTACGCTACGATGTCTGGCTTGTTACAATAGAAGGACACTTTTTGGTGCTATATAGAACAATTTTCAAAAAGGTTCTACATAGAACCATCTACAACACATTATCCATCAATCTAAAGATGCAAAGAACCATTTAAGCATGCGTTATATAAAGAATGTGTTATATATGGTTCTATGTAGTGGTTCAAAACAGGACCACTGCCTTTACTAAAGAACCCTTGAAGAACCATCTTTTTTTTAATGTGCATCCAACCATGCACACTTAAAAATCATGGTTTTTCAAGGTTTCTTTAGTAAAGAAAATGATTCCATATAGAACCATGAACACTCAAAGAACCCTTTGCTTGAATAAAAGATTCTTATAAATTAAAAGAAAAATATATAAATATATATATATATACATGGGGAAAAACATTTCAGGTTCTAGGTAGAATCATAAACAACACATTGTCCATCAATCTAAAGATGCAAAGAACCATTTAAGCATGCGAATGGTTTTATGTATAACTAATAATTCTAAACAGAACCATTGCTTTTCTAAAGAACCCTTGAAGAACCATCTTTTTTTTTTATTGTGTATCCAAACATACATTTGAGAGTTCTTTAGTAAAGAAAATGGTTCTATCCATGAACACTCAAAGAACACTTTGCATGATTAAAGGTTTTTTTGCATTATGAAAAGGTTCCTCAGGTTGATGGAGAATGTGCTGTAGATGGTTCTGTATAGAACCTTTTTGAAAAGTCAAGTCAAGTCAAAGTTTATTTATATAGCACTTTTTACAACAGGTGTTGTCACAAAGCAGCTTTACAGAAAAATCTGGGTCTGAGCCCCCATGAGTGTCGCCAATGGCGACAGTGGCAAGGAAAAACTCCATAATAGCAAGAGGAAGAAACCTGGAGAGGAACCAAGACTCAAAAGGGGAACCCATCCTCCTCTGGTTGACACCAGATGGCAAACAGCAAGGGTTCTATGTAGCACCAAAAAAGGGTTCTTCTATTGTAATAGACCTGGTATCATAACAATAGAAAACCTCTTTTTTGGTGCTATATAGAACCCTTTTCAAAAGGTTCTGTATAGAACCATCTCCAGCGCATTCTCCATTAATCCGGCAGTCAATTGTGGCAGTACGCTTTAGCCCATGATGCTTGACGGCTTGGATTTTAAGTTTGCTACTTTTTGTCTTTATGTACGTTTCTGGTATCTGATTTTGATTCATCTCGTCTTCTTTGGGGTGAATGTTTCGCTTGTCAGGAATGGATGCATGCTTTATAAAGAAGTGCTGCTTTGGCTGTTGTGTTTATGGCTACGTTCACATAACCAGGTTGAAGTGACACAAATCCAATTTTTTGCCCTAATGTGACTCAGATGTTTTCAGGGCTGTGTGGACACAAATCTGACCTTTTCAAATCCGACCTGAGCCACTTTCATATGTGGTCCTAGATCCGATTCATGGCCATGCGACCTTAATGTGACGGTCAGATCGGAATGCATGTGCTTTTTTCTTCACTGCGCATGCGCCATCATTCAGCGTTACCATGGCAGCAGCGCCGAACAGAAGTTAAAGCCTGTAAAAGCAGCTCATCTCACCTTTTTCTCCTTCATCTCGCTCTAATAATGAAGCTGAGAGCTGATCAGAGTTAATGATCTTCTCAGCGAAGCTCGTTCTGCTCGTTAGTTTGTGCTGATGATGAACGTGATTCATTCACGTGACGTTACTGAGTAGGATGAGCTCATGAGGGTCATTTCAGGACGCTGGTTCGTTCACATTAATGACAGATTTGATTCACTTACCTAAACAAGTGTGAACCATCGTGTCAGAGAGATCGGATTAGAGCAAAAAATCATATTTGAGCAACGAGGCTTGTAATGTGAACGTAGCCTATGTTAACTTGTGATGTGGTTTATGTGCAAGTAATCCACTCTTATAACTGTGATGTGCCCAACACTGCATATCATATCATATCATATCATAAAAGATCACTGACCACCCAAAAATGTAGGGCCCCACCAAATATTTGTGCCCAAGAGTCGATAACGTGATCATCCATGCCTTGATCGCAGCACATCCTTGTAGAAATCACAGATACTGGCAAGAAAATTCAGCATTGTTTACGATCTCTGCTCTAAATGAGAGGAGTGGGGGTTGCCAATCTGTGTTTCTCTCTCAGGTGGGCCACACACACACATGACGTGACAAGCCATGACAGGCTCTCTACACTGTGGGTGTGTGGTGTGTGTGCGTGTGAGTGAACAATCACCCTGTGTTTGGCTCCGAATGGTTGAAGGAGTTATAAACAAATTTATAAATAAAATTGTTCAGGATGAACACACCCGTCTGCTTTGTCCTTCACAGTTTCCTGTTGTAATGAAGTGGACTTGATCATTAGTGACCACACCACAGCTTTGTACGCACCCAACACGACAGAACACAGCAGAACCGTTGCTATGGCATTCTTTTACCCGTTCATGTCCAAAAACTAAAATGAAAATGGCAATAAAAAATGCCACAGAGCTTCTGATTGGTCTAAAGTGATGAAATTGTGAAATGTCACACTACAGTTTTGATTATATAAAATTTCTATGCCTATACTTACAGTCAAATTTGGATTTGCTGTTGTTTTCTTGTGATGCATTGAGTCATTTTCTAAACAGTCATAATTGAACTGAATCACAGTGAAATTTGTTGTGATTCATTCAGTCATTTTCTAACAAATCATAATGGATTTGAATTATAGTGAAATTTGTTGTGATGCATCGAGTCATTTTATAAAGAATTATAATCGAATTGAATCATGGTGAAATTTCTAATGATGCATTGAATCATTTTCTAAAAAATCAAAATTTAATTGATTTTTAGTGAAATTTCTCATGATCCATTGAGTCATTTTCTAAAGAATCATAAATAAATTGAATCATAGTGAAATTTGTTGTGATGCATCGAGTGATTTTATAAAGAATCATAGTGAAATTTCTCATGATCCATTGAGTCATTTTCTAAAGAATCATAATTGAATTGATTCATAGTGAAATTTTTCATGATCCATTGAGTCATTTTCTAAAGAATTATAATTGAATTGAATCATAGTGAAATTTATTGTGATGCATTTAATCATCTTCTAAAGAATCATAATTGGATCATGATGAAATTTCTCATGATGCATTTAATCATTTCCTAAAGAATCGTGATCAATTTATCATAAAGTATTGTAATCAGTTGTGGCGAATGCTTTGTGTTGTTTCATAAAAAACTGAAATCAAATCAAACTGAATCGTGCTTCTCATGATGCACTGAATCATTTCATAAAGAATCATATCTAAATAACCTAAATCACAGTGAAATATCTAATGACTCCCTGAATCTTTTTCCTAATAAAGCATAAAGAATCGAATCGTAGTGAGGTCAGATATTAACACCTCTGCTCTTACTGTTTCCTAGGTTACCTGTCACGTGTGTTGAGGAATTACACTGAAGAAGCGTGTGACGGAGACATCCTGACTGTAAGGTGCCCACCGAGGACCACCATCACTGTCCAATCAGCTTTCTATGGCAGAAGAGACTCCGCCCACTCTCTGCAGTGTCCACTCCCTTATAATATTGATGAGCCACACCCACTGAGTGATGACAGTTCCTGTCATGTATCAACAGCACTGCAGGTAACACACACACACACACATGCACGCGCACACACATACAATTCCAATAAGCTTCATTTGTTGTGTGTGTTGCATGTACACTCATCGTCAAAAACATAGCTGCTCTCAGAAGGAAGTGCCAGATTGCAATGCTATACGGAAGGAAGATAAAGGTTACCAGGAACAATAAATTATTAAAATTTTAGACTGACATGGGCAACATTTATCGAGCCAAAAATACAGTAGTAGTAGTAGTCTCAGTTTGGTGTCGGACCACCATGTCTGCTAATGCAACATGCCGTTAATCTTGGCCCTGACCACGGGATTCATTAGTCGTCTCTACCAAGACAAAAGCAGGACTTTGGCGACGTTGACGTGGTGTTAAGGGCAGTCGTAATGATCTGCGTGCAAGTAGTCCTGCGTCATGGTGCTTGCAATAACAGGATGACTCTTAGAGGGCATCACTGCTTGCTCAATGTCCACAATCGTGGCTGTTGGGTCACTCTGCGCATGTCGGACAATCTGTCGGATCTCCCTCTCCATGGGTCGTGTAGGTCTCCCCAATCCTTCATGTCGCTGCTGAGTGCCTTCTTCTATCCTCTGCCGCCAACAGCATGCTATGGTAATATCTGCACAACCGGTATAGCGCACAATACATAAGACCATCCCGCTTCCCGGAGCCCTGCGATGCGACCCCTCTCGAACTCTTCCAACTGCTCGAATTACTTTCGAACTCTTCTCCGAGGCAAACTTTGCTTGTAAGGATGCTACCAACACAACAACACGAGTCAGAATGGATAGCATGCGCAACAGGACGACCTTATAGTTGGACTGGTACAGGGATAAGGCCCGTCCTTGCTTATGTCACATGCGCAGCTGAGCATGAAACCTACCCACCAAGTTTCATTCCTGTCAGTTGATTCTTTCTGGGTGCAACTATTTTTTGCCGATGAGTGTAGGTGCTGTTTGTCCATGCGTGTGTTTCAGACATAAAGTCTGGTCATTTCTTTAGGGCACATTACGGTACATGACCTCATGTTTTCTTAACTGTGTTTTTTATGAAGTGTATGAGTGTGTGTGTGTGTGTGTGTGTGTGTGTGTGGGATTCAGTTTCAGTTTCAGGTGTGTGACATGGCAGAGTCCTGTTTGAACGTTACTGTCTCTGACAGTGATTACATATGATTAATGATCGTACACGTGCTGTACACACACACACCTATACATACCTATGATAAATGAGCATCCATATCCTAACCACACCTTTTCAGTCTGTCTAACACACAAACACAGAGGCCTGGAGGCAAAGGAAGAATTCTGCAATGTGTGTGTGTGTGTGTGTGTATGTGTGTGTGTGTGTGTGTGTGTGTGTGTGTGTGTGTGTGCCTGGAGGGAGAGGAATTTGGTGTGGGAGAAATGAACACTCTGGAATGTGCTCACCTGAATCAAAACAAACCCTCAGTGCAACCAGAGAACTCTCTCTCTCTCTCTCTCTCTCACACACACACACAAACAGTTATCTTTTTATTTGTCAATTTGTATTTTTTTCACATTATTAGATTGTAGATTAGATATTCGATTTTGACACAGTGTGATATGTTAGTATCAGTATTTTATAAAGAATGGTAAACTGTCACTATTAGAGCCGGGAAAAAACACCTCTTTGATTATGCTAATTTCTGCTCGTGTCCCTATGAGACTTCTAATAGTTCGTTAACGCAAAGCTAACATCAATTTATGTGAACATTTTTGGATTTGGTTTACATTTCTGTCATCTCCATTTTTGTCGTTTTTCAGTTTTTGATATAATCTGAAAATACCTGTTGCTCTTTACGTTGTTTGTAAATTTCATGAAGAATGGACTAAAAGAAACGGCCCAAAATGACTTAGAAAAATGTCTGGTTCCATTGACTTACATTAAAAGTAGAGTAGATTTTTTCCTTCTCCTGTAAAGTTACCATTTTGGAGATACAAGGTTTTCTTCCGACAACAGCGATACATATATATATATATATATAAACTTTCTAAACCTTACTGTAACCCTCTGAAACCACTCTCTCTCTCTCTCTCTCTCTCTCTCTCTCTCTGTAGAAGATGTCAGATGAATGTCAGGACAGGAGGAGTTGTGAGCTGTTGGTTAACAGTCGTTTATTTGGAACAGATCCGTGTCCATCCATCAGCAAGTCCCTCACCCTACAGTACAAATGCAGACCTAGTGAGTGTCTCATATTAGTTACTGAACAATTTATAGTAGATACTGAATAATTTATAATAGTTACTGAAAAATTTATAGTAATTACTGAATAAATCATTGTATTTACTGAATGATTTCTGTTCACGCAATGTTAAGAGCAGATAATAGAAACACTCCAGACTGAGATGTTGACCTTTCGCTGAGATGTATCGCTCTCTCCCCCCCTGTAGACGAGTATAAGAGTAAGGTGGTCTGTGAAGGGGAGCGGTTGAGGCTGAGCTGTAAGAATGGGATGCAGATTGCTGTGTATTCGGTCATGTTTGGGCGCACGCAGCAGGGAACGCTGGAGTGTCCTCCACACCACCGGAGGGCACCGTTTGTGGGTAAGCTCACTCAGACATTATCTCTTCTCCAGTTCTAGATTTGAATATATTCAAAATTTGCTAATACAGATGATATGTATACTAATACTACAGTGCACTCAGCATTAAGGGGGCATCGATTTCAGTACCTTTGTGGAAATCACTGTCAATGAAAGCTAGGCGTCAAGGCACCTGGAGGTGTAGGGATAGGTGGGGGGTGGGGCTTGTGCTATAGACACACCCACACTGAAATGACTGGGCTTTGTTTCTGAAGACCTTATAAATTCTAAGTCTTGGAATTTTTGTTCATTTTGTTAGAAGGTTCTGTTTAAGAACTTTATTCATCTTAGCTCTACACACTTAAAAAAGACGGTTCTTTAAGGGTTCTATGTGAAAGGTACACATTTAAAAAAGATGGTTCTATAGTAAAGAGTTCTATGTAGAACCATGGTTCTTTGCATGTTAAAATGGTTCTCCAGGTTGATGGAGGTATGTGTTGTATATGTTTTTTTTTATGGTTGTAGATGGTTCTATAGTACAGAGTTCTATGTAGAGCCATGGTAATAGGCTTTAAATCAAAATACATATATAGCATCACCATCTGAACAAAAACTTCTAAGTATTAAAATTACAAGTGAAGAAAAAAAAATTATCTAAAAAAATTTGCACATATCAAGATTTTACTCCACCAAGGTCTGGAATAGGAGATGAGATCAGCTGGCATGAAAACACACCTCCACATTCAAAACACAGAAACTCCCTGGAGTTTTACTGGAATTCCTTATCTCTCTCTCACACACACACACACACACACACACACACGCACAGATGTGAATGAAAAGGATATGTGTCACATCCACTGTTTTGGAGACACTATACACACTGTACACAACTACACACTCCTGAAAGAGTGGTCTGTATGTTGTAGGATGAGTCATAAGGAAAGCATTTAGCTACACTTATATGATAATATGTGTATTGTTTGTGTGTTTATTTTAAACCAGTTTGGAATCCCTGTTCAAAAGTTTAGAATCCCTATTCAAAAGTTTGGAATCCCTTTTCAAAAGTTTGGAATCCCTATTCAAAAGTTTGGAATCCCTATTCAAAAGTTTAGAATCCCTCTTCAAAAGTTTAGAATCCCTCTTCAAAAGTTTGGAATCCCTATTCAAAAGTTTAGAATCCCTCTTCAAAAGTTTGGAATCCCTATTCAAAAGTTTAGAATCCCTATTCAAAAGTTTGGAATCCCTATTCAAAAGTTTAGAATCACTGTTCAAAAGTTTGGAATCACTGTTCGGAATTACAGCTTATTCTTTCATATTTATTTCTATTGAAAGTTAAAGATGTTTTTTTCCTTCTCCTTTAAAGTAACTTTTGAAAGATATGAGCTTTTGTTCAGATATTCACGATTTAATATACATCAGATCACATTATTGCCCCACATCCTGACAAGCTATAAAAACAAACCTGTGTGTGTGTGTGTGTGTGTGAGAAAGATAGAGAGAGAGAAAGAGAGAGAGAGAGAGAGAGACAGAGTCGCCTTGGGTCTCCTGCTTGACTAATCACCGTGGCGACCGTGCTCAAAGGACAGGTTAATGGAGTCTGTGTTTGTCTCTCTCTGCACTTCCTTCCCAGGGGGAGAATTTCAGCGTGACACCAGCAGGTTAAACCCCCTCAGGGGAACCGGAGACTGGGTGGCTGTTTCTCTGGTCTGGGGAAGCGTTTAGACAGACCCCCTCAGTTCTACACCATCCATCAGTGCTCCAAACCACATCCACCCACCTTCAAACACAGACATTCACCAGCACTCGTGCCAATATAGGGGGCGGGGGGGGGCAGGGGAACGGGGGACGGGGTCATGTGCCTTCCGCTTTTTGAAATTGTTTGAGATCATTTTGGGGGTCGCAGGATGGTTGTGGAGTAAAGTACGTAGCTCAGGTGTGAAAGAGCTGTTCAGTATCAGTTATTATACAATTATTATTATATAGGTTATTATAGTCAGTTACAGTTTAAAACAACTTTCAAAAGAAAGAAGCAACAAATCATTTTGGAATTTGGACTCATTTGGAATCACTATTCAAAAGTTTGGAATCCCTGTTCAAAAGTTTGGAATCACTGTTCAAAAATTTGGAATCACAGCTAAAATAAAGTTTGGAATCCCTGTACAAAAGTTTGGAATCACAGCTAAAGTAAAGTTTGGAATCACTGTTCAAAAGTTTGGAATCACAGCTAAAATAAAGTTTGGAATCCCTGTACAAAAATTTAGATTCAATGCTCAAAAATTTAGAATCAGAGTTCGAAAGTTTGGGATCAATGTTTTCAATAAAATTAAACTTTTTGTTATAAAAAATATAAAATCATTCTAACATGTTAGTCCTGTACAATTGAACATTTTTTGTTGTCTTGTTTGGAGTCAGTAATGACAAAAAGAAAGAAGCACTAAATCATTTTCAACATTTCTTTACAGCTCTGTGATCATTTGTCAACTTATGCTGTTGGCTATTGGGGTATTTTGCTAAAATATCTGTAGCAACATGCAGATCAAGGATTGTAGTGACACAATGGATAGAAAAACAATGCCATTATAATAGGCAGCAAAACTGAATCTCTATATGAATGTTTGATATTATTTCCTAATGCTATTTTTGTGGTTTTGTGTTTTATTATTGACATATGAAGGAGGAGATGTGAGTATGATGAGTGTAATTGAGGGTGGACTTTGTTTACAGGTTTAGGTTTTTATTGCTTTAGCCTCTTGATTGTGTTGGGTAAGTACATAAGACATAAGGAGGTAAAAAAACAGTCTGTGCCAGCCTTCACCCTTTCAGCTTGAAAGCAATGTGCGGTAGGGTAAGACTTAGCCAGTGAGAGGGTTGGGCCTGAAGAGAAAATTGGGTATAAAATTTTTTTACGCTATTAAACTCAAATTGATGGCATGTCTTTGGTCTTTACATATTAACACGGCCCCCCAGTTCCCCCCTACTATCTGTGTAGAATGAATGACCTCATCATATCAAGTCTTTTTGCTAAACTTGCAAGTTTTGTTAGTTTTGGTCTTTCAATTCGTTTGCCATTGCTTGATTTGCATTACCATTCTGCTCACTAGAGGGCAGTGTTGGGCTGCTGATTTGTTACTGAAGTCATTACGGATTACATCTCATTTTAAACGAAAGAATTTTGTTCCCTCCATCTTTTCGTTTCTCAGTGATGTGATGATTACTTCTGTATGTGGATGCTTTGCCTGCAAGAGTGATTACAAACCAGTGTTATTTGTTTTATTACAGTATCAAACCCTTTTCCACAGAAACTACATGCATGTTTTAAACACGAAAGCAGGAATAAAACGCTAAAGTAACAATAAAAATAAAAAAGAGGTGCAGACAATAGCAAAGGCCTCCCAAACCTCTGTGATGGTGAAGATGGTTTGGAGATCAGAGACTGTGTCCATGCCATGCTCAGAGTGTGTAAGTGTGTGTGTGTGAATGGCCAATCAATCACTGTGACAGGCGTGTGTGGTTCTGCTTTCTGTGTAAGATCAAATGTCTCCGAAACAAAACACTTGTCTGTTAAAGGATGTCTGAACATGCACAGATTAACCCCTTAAAATCCCAGACTTATTACATACTGAGGCTTATTATTCAGTAACTACAGGGACTTCTGTGCAAACTGGCTGAGCTATTCTTAGGTTATAGAGGTGTGTAATAAAACTTTGGGGTGGTTGGTGGGACCTGGCCATTTAAGGGGTTGATAACACACGCTGTCTATGTATTTTTGGACATCACAAATGGAAAAGTAGTGATATGTATGAAGAATATACCTCATATATATTACACACATTCATGTGTATACAGTACTATGCAAACCTTTCAACCATCACCTTTCAAAAATTTGATTTCCAGTCAAAATGGCAATTAAGTACAAGTTATTTATTTTTCATGAGATATTTCTGAGGAGATTAGAGAGAAGATAATCCACTTGAATTAGGAAGGGGAACAATGATTAAAAGATACAGAGAAAGTGGGGCTCCTAACAACCGTGCAAGACCTGGTAACCCACAAAATGTCCCAGATAAACAGCATTTAAACTTGTTTTTTAGAGAGAGAGGGGAAAATCAAGCAGTAATAAAGGCAAAGAGTGCACACACTAACAAACTAAATACTAAAAATTTGTATGTGTGTGTATATATATATATATATATATATATGTATCTGATGTGACCCCCTTGTGCAGCAATAACTGCAGCTAAACATTTCATCTAACTATTGATTAGTCCTGCACATCTGCTTGATATATTACATATTATTACAATGTAATTATATGGTGATTGAGAAATTGATAAATGATGGCCTTTTTGATTGGAAATTAATTACATGAAGGGTGGGACTTGTTTTAGTGCTCTGTTTGTTGTAATGTGTATATATCTAATGTATGATGTTCACACACAAACACTTGTTTTCTGTCTCTACAGACTGCCAGTCAGAGGTGGCGCTACAGGTGATGACATCACGATGCCAGGGGAAACGGGCATGTGTAATCCGTGCCTCTACACAGGTGTTTGGAGACCCCTGTTACTCCGGCACGAGGAAATACCTTAGTGTTATATACACCTGTGGTGAGCTCTGTCTTACAATTATATACATATACATACACATATACATATACATATACCTAGTAAGACCACAACACAGCATTAGATCTTGTGTGTAGATAAACATGACCTACTGCAAGGGCAGCTAGATGACCGGCCTTTAAAAGGTATGGTTCAGTTGTGGCATATATATGACATATATGCCTTAAGCTAGTTTATACTTATATATGATGCCACATGACTTAAATCTAGCACTATTTTCCAGAGATAAGCTGATGAAAAGAACAAAAGTACACTAGATGGTCCGTATAATTAGTGAATTCAGCCATTTTAAGGAGCACTCACTGCTGATACAGGCATTTAGTTGCACTTGTGTAAGCACCAAACTGTGCTGGACACCGGCCCTCAAGGACCGAAGTAGTGTATCCCTGGTCTAAGGTTACCATGGGCAATGCCAAGCATGGGCTAGAGGGATATGAAGCCCCCCCCAGCATTGGGCTGTGGAGCAGTGGAGCTGCATTCTCTGGAGTGATGGAGCTCCATCTAATACCTTTAGGATGAGTTGGAGAGATCCAGAACTGACCATCCAACATCAGTACCTGACCTTACTAATGCTCTTGTGGCTGAATGCAATCAAATCCTTCAATCAAAGCTGGTGGAACGTGGTTTTGAAATCTGTAGGTATGGCATGGCGAAAAAGAAAATTGCTTCAGAGTGTTAGCAGGCTTTCCCTATGTTTAAAGTAGTGCCACATATGGCCACTAGAGGCTGCTAAACACTAAATAGTAAATGGAGAAAGACCTAGTTCTCCAGTGGACTTCAGACACAGTACAGATCATATAGTACATGAAACATATAAGCATATAATATATTATATAATACATTTAAATCATATAAGCATGGCATGGCATTATTTGATGCCCTGTTTCTTAAATAAAGTCTTCACTAAAATGAAAATAAAGCACATTTTGGCTTTTTATTATAAAAGGCTGTACAAAATAAAATAGATAATGATGCACTGATAATCCAAAAATAGGTGGAATGGTTCAAATATGTTTTTTTCATTTGAGGGGCTCATTTTAATAGTGTATCTGTAATAGTGGGCCTTGTTTACTATATCTTGAATCCACTAACCCTTATTTAAAGCAGCATTACGTAAGATTTTTTTTGTTGTTGTTCATATTGAAAGAAGTAGCATTACTGAGTCAGGAGACTAAAGCCAGGCTAAATATGGTGAGCGTGCTCTGCTGCGAGTCGCACTGCAAAGCCTGAAATAAACAATTAAAAGTCAGAGGCGTCGGGTCAGGAGTTTTTCAGACCACGTCATATGTCTTTAAGTATTAACGTCACTCGCACAGGCTCAAAAAAGAAGGTCCAGCTCAGTGTTTAGGTCTGAAGTGCTAAATCAGCATTATACTGATGAAGATATGAGGACAATAGCAGGTAATTCACTCACATCCTCAAAAGACGCGTCCTTCACCAAGTTACAACTGAGTTCTCTTTGAATTCTTGTTCAATGCTCTCGCAATCATCAGATTCATCCACTCGGGGAAGGAGTCCAAAGCACAACCCGTGTTACAAAATGTTCTACCCCACATTGCATGCAATTACACATTTCCACCAGAGAGGTCGCCAAACCCCCAAATCTTACAAAGTGCAGCTTTAAAGCAATAGTCAGACAAAAATCAGATATATGGACAAAATTCAGGCTGTTTTAGGAATGCCGTGTACTTTTTATAGATAACAATTCAGACACTTTTACAAGGGCTGCTACATGACTGGCCTTTAAAAGGTATGGTTCTTATGGCATATATATGACATATATGTCTTAAACTAGTTTATACTGATATATGATGGAACATGACTTAAATCTAGCACTATTTTCCAGAGATAAGCTGATGAAAAGAAAAAAAGTACACTAGATGGTCCATATAATTAGTGAATTCAGCCACTTTAAGGAGCACTCATTGCTGATACAGGCATTTAGTTGCACTTGTGTACGTTCCATAGAAATTCATTGACAAATGGAATGGGATGCTCTGGAGCAGCTGAACATGAGTCTAACACAGTGATCCTGGAGGGCTGGTGTCCAGCACAGTTTGGTGATTTACCTGCTCAAACACCTGATTCAACTCATTTCTTAGTGTCAGTGTCAGAAACTACATAAGCAGGTTTGAGATTTCTGCCAATTTTAACTCAGTAAGTTTCTCTACACTGGAGTAAAATTGGTGGATTTCCCCTTTAGACTGGACGATGTATAGATATAAACAGTGATAAATGAGTGAAGTTGCCATTTGCAGGCTGATCTAAGAGAAGCTCTTTCTCCTGGTCTGGGTTTTGAGCAAGCGGAGCAGGTCCTGCCACAGTGTGAAAGGGTGCAGTGTGTGTGTGGTATGGGATAATGGACAATGCTACATTGAGCTGGCCTGCAGAGCTGGTTTTCTTTGCATTCCTTGATGAAAACCATGCATGTGTGTGTGTGTGTATGTGTGTGATGTTGTCTTTAATTTTTAAGAGCAACTCCTCTTTTTATCCTCCTGTTTCCAGCTGAATAGAATAAACACTGAAGAAGCTGACAGAGCACAGTGTTTGTGTGCTTGTGATATCGAGTGCAAGGTACCATCGTCCGACTGCGCCCCCTAGCTATTGCGATTGTCAGTACACAGCATAAAAACATTACCAGTGTTCACAGAAAAACTAGTCATAAATACGGACTGCAGGTCGCTCCACACACTGACAGACAGAAGAGCTTCTCAGGGGAATTTTCCTTCTCTTTTTGGAAGATGTGGCATTTAGCGACAATTGGCCGAGAGACTTGTCAATCACTATTTTTAAAATGGTCAATTATAGCCACTCAAAAAAGCAATTAAATATGCATCTTCATCTGGTATGTGCATCGCTTAGCCGGTTTGTTTGTGGTACACAATGCCCGAACAAATTTCTAGAATATATAAGAGATAACCTGAAATGTTCATTATAGAAGATACAAAGAAAAAATAAACAAAATCAACTAAAGACAAATATCAGTGTTTTAATATGCTAGAAAGACAGAAAAGGCAGAATGGGGGACGTGAAAACATTTGGATGCTTGCCTGCCGTTGGCTTCCCGTAGTAGTGCATGTGCAGATACATTTGACTCACTTCCTGCTTCTATGTCTCATATATTATTATAGTGATAAAGAACACACACACACACACACACACACACACACACACACACACACACACACAGCCCAGACAGCAGAATCAGAGTGTGAGATATATCTGTCTATAAAAATACCCAGATGGCGATTCAGAGCTTTAAAGCTGTGCTGTTATTTGAGTGGTTGTGCTTATAATAGTAGCATTCTTATCAACACAGAGAGAGACATGGTCCTGCACTCTGTACTGGAGCACATCCAGTCTGCAGACACTCTTTATTAAAGAGATAGAGACTCAACTCAGACTCGCACCTCAGACACTGGAGACTCAACTCAGACTCGCACCTCAGACACTGGAGACTCAACTCAGACTCACACCTCAGACACTCAAGACTCAACTCAGACTCGCACCTCAGACACTCGAGACTCAACTCAGACTCACACCTCAGACACTCGAGACTCAACTCAGACTCCTTCTCAAGAGTCTCAAGACTCAACTCACACCTGCACCTCAGAGACTCAAGACTCAACTTGAACTCTCACTCCAGAGGCTCGAAACTCAATTCAGGCTCGCACCCCAGAGACTCAAGATTCAATGCAGATTCTCACCGCAGAGACTCGAGACTCAACTCAGACTCACTCTCAAGAGTCTCAAGACTCAACTCAGACCTGCACCTCAGAGACTTGAGACTCAACTTGAACTCTCACTCCAGAGACTCGAAACTCAACTCTGGCTCACACCCCAGAGACTCAAGATTCAACTCAGGCTCGCACCCCAGAGACTCAAGACTCAACTCAGACTCACCATCAAGAGTCTCAAGACACACTTGAGAAATTTGAGACACAACTTTGACTGACATTCCAGATACTTGACTCAGACCTCCGAGACTCTAGGCTCAAATCGGACTCTCATCTCAGAGACTTGGACTCACAATCCAGAGACTTGAGACTCAACTTGGACTCACATTCCAAAGACTCGAGACTCAACTCAGACTCACTCTCAGGAGACTCCAGGCTCAACTCAGACTTGCACCCCAGAGACTCAACTCACTGACTTGCCCGAGAAACCCAAGACTTGGACTCCTATTCCAGAGACTCAAGACTCAACTCAGGCTCGCACCCAAAGACTCGAGACTCAATTTAGACACACACTACAGAGACTTAAGACTCAACTCAGACTCACGCTTGAGAGATTTGAGACACAACTCTGACTTGCATTATAGATACTTGACTCAGACCTCAGAGACTCTAGACTCAAATCGGACTCGCACCCCAGACAATCAACTCAGACTCAGACTCCAGAGACTCGAGACTTGGACTTAAATTCCAGTGACTCGAGACTCAACTCAGACTCGCACCCCAAAGATTCAAGACTCAACTCTGACTGGTACCCAAAGATTTGGACTCTTACTGCAAAGACTGAACTTAGACTCTTACTGCGGACACTCAAGACTGAACTTAGACTCTTACTCCAGATACTCAACCCTCAACTCGGACTCACACCCCAGAGATTCAAGAGACTCGAGACTTACATTTCAGAGACTCAAGACTCAACTCTGACTTGCACCCCAGGGATTCAACTCTGATTTGCACCCAGAGACTCAAGACTCCAATCTGACTCAAAACTCAAAACTCGACTCAGACTTGCACTCCAGGGACTCAAGACTCAACTTGGACTCACATCCCACAGACTTGACACTCAACCCTAACTCGCATTCCAGAGACTTGAGTCTCGATTCGGACTTGCACTCGAGAGACTCGAGACTCGACTCAAATTAGCAGCCCAGAGACTCGACTCTTGTGTTCATCATTTGTGTTGTTCTTCATGAAGAGAAGAGAAGAGAAGAAGAGAAGAGAAGAGAAGAGAAGAGGAGAGCTCGAACT